GCAAGCAGATGACTGACCAGGATTGGCTGCAGGAACCAGAGAATTGCCTGGTGCTGTCACCCATGATCACATTACCTAAGGGCGATTTGGCATCACTTTCACATGTTTACATCTGGTGCATTGTAACGAATTTAACAAGTTGTTATTTTCCAATAGCCACTAAAGAGACAAGTGAGGCCTTCTACAGCAGGAGAAACAGAGCTGTTTGCAAACTGTACAGCAACATGTAGCTGCTTCCCCTCCAATACCTCACAAACCACTGAACAGATAAAGCGCCACAGCAACAGTCTATGTTTGAGTCTCCGTTGGTAACAAATTTCCCTCTGAGTCAAAACATTACGAGTTCAAGCCCCACATGAGCTCATGGTTTATTCAGCCTGACACCGCAAAGCAGTGCAGGGGGGAGTGCTGCATTGTTTGAGTTGCTGTCTTTTGGATGAGATGTTAAACCAAGGTCTCATCTACCTGTTAAGATGGACGTTAAAAATGCCACTGCAATATTCAAAGAGAGAAGGGAGTTTCTTCCTGTGTCCTGGCCAACAACCTTCCAGCAAAAATTGATCATAGTTATTTATGGGATATTTGCAGTGTACAAATTTGACTGCCGTGTTTGCAAAGAAACACATTGTCACTTTGTTTTACAGAACATTTACAGCGTTGTACCAAGTGCAAGAAATATTGCAGTAATATTGCCATCCTGAAGTAAAACAAAAAGTGGTTATTACAGAAAACAAACATAATTCAGTTTCAATATTCCATGCTCTTTTTATTATGAAATTATAGGAAAGGGCAATTTAGCTCCCCGGGATAGGGCTTTAATTTGTACATAAATAGTGATTCTGCAGTGTAAGCCCAATAACTCTATATACATGCAACAATTTTTTTCTATTCATAAAACATATTACATTGCATATTTCAAAGACTGATCTTTAACAGTACCGTAATACACCCCAACTGTGCTTTCATTCTAAAAGGTTTCAGCTGAACCAATCTATTCGAAAGAAAACAATTTTGAAAAGTAACTGATAAACTGAACCGTAACATGGCTTTAAGAAGACAATTTTCCCCCTTCCGTCCCTCAATTATTAACTGGTCGTGATTTGCCGTTTCTTCACATGAAAGTTCATAGTTTCATCTATGTGATCATTTTTGTCCTAAAATTGAAGATTGTGTGGATTTGTGGAAAAATTGTACAGCCGTTTTTTCGCATTTCTCAAAAAGAACCGGATTCCAGAGTAACACTGAATTGAGGAGTTTTCCACAATTCCACATGATGTTCGACTTCAAGACAAAAATAATCCTATAGACTAAGCCGAGGTGGAATTTTGGACCCGTGGTGACTGTCTGGGAGTACTGTGCTATAGACTGAATAGGCAGTAAACAAGGCAGAATAAAGACCTCTATAAAGCTATTCTATACGGCTGGGTAAAGATTTTTTCTGGAGTAATTGTTCATAATGTTGCTTGCCGTGCATTAGTGATCGTATATTACTGATGCTCGGCAGAATTTGCATGATGTGCCAGCTGTTTCAGCTAAGAAACCACCAGGGAGCATGCTGTTCATACCATACAATGTGCATACTCCCTCTCTCAAAATACACGGCTCAGTTGATAAAGGCACTGACTGCCCAGTGTGATACTGAACCATGTAGACCACGACAAACCTGGGTTCAATCTTTGTCTAGGCTGTGAGTTGCTACCCTGCGTGAAGGGCATTATATAAATGTAAGTTGTTGTTGTAGTTGTTAGTTCCTCTCAACTTAGTGTTGTGGTAAGGAATAGCTTCAATCACCCTCTGTGCCCTGAACTTGAAGAGAAAGAAATAAGTCAGCTGAAGTTCCTGCTCTTGAGGTCCGAAATTCCACCTGGTCCTGGCCTTTCTAAACCATTTTGGTTTAAACATGTAACATTGCGCAGAGCAGACAGTTTGTTTTTAAGAGCTAAAGTCTTCCAAACAGTCTTCCAAGCCAAGAATTTTCCAAATTGCTGTGCTATCTGACATTTTGAGACAAAACTGCGTGAAAACTGTGAAATTTCAGGCCTCTGATTGCTATTCAGTAACCTTTCTCTCTCCCCCCCCACCCCCCACCCCCCACAACTGTAAAATGCATTCGTGAGGACCTCAATGGATTGTGGTCAGCTTGCGAAGGACAAGTTTGAAGGGCTATGGGGCGAGAGCGGGGGAGTGGGATTGAATTGCATGGCTCCTTTCAAAGAGCCGGCACAGACACAATGGGCCGAATGGCCTCCTTCTGTGCTGTATAATTCTATGATTCTATGTTGATAGCCTCCCCAGTATCCTGTTGATACTTGGCTCCTGTTGGGAGGGGAATACATGATGTTATGTAACATCAAAAGAGAATACACACTATTCGGGTCCGAGATTATACAATAACGTTGGTAAATGTCTTATGTTAAGAAATTGAGCGGGAGGAGAGTCTGATAACTCACATGGCGCTGATTGGAAGTGATGCTCATGAGATTGGTCTGGATGAAGAAGGTCCTTCTGCCCATCTAATCTCATCCCTCCAGACACCGACCCTACCGCCCCCACCTCATTGCATCAAGCTCCTTTTTAAATGTCCCATTTTCCTGGCCTCTATCACCTTTCCTGGCAACATGTTCTAGTCGCTGATTTTCATCCACAAAATACACAGTCAATTTATTTTAAGTACATGCTCTTAAGCGCTTTGAGAAGTCTCAATGACGTGATAAGGGGCGCTATATCAAATGCAAGGATTATTATTATCCTTATCTTGATATCTGTCCTCAAATAGCCCTTTACAACTCTGAACCTATGTCCTCTTGTGCTTGTGGTGTTACTATTTATTCTGCGCAGAGGGCATAAAACACCCACTCCCAAAGAGGATCTCGGCATATCGCTATGATTCTTAAAGACTGGTTCGCTTCTACACAAATTAAACCAAACAAAAGGCTTTCCCCAGGGCCCCAATGGTTTCTGTATTCTCCTTTCTTTGTATATAAAACTGTTCAAAAAGCACCTTATGCTAGCAGATGGCAGGCTGCAGTCCTCTCACTATTTAATCGTTCAGAAGAGCCTTTAGTCTTACACACACAGATATATATGTATCTATATATATATAAGCTGTCTGTTCTTATTTAAATAGTCTGGCGATACCAACCCACGCCTTGCTGTTGCCGAGATAAAACAGCGCCAATTGCTTGAACAAGTTAAACGTTAAATATTTCAAGTCCCTTAAAAGCTTTCAAACTATTGTCAAACCTCGTGGAGACAAACCCCTGGTGACAAAGCTGATCTTATCAGGAGTTCATGTAAAAGGGGGGAACAATTATTTCGCTGGATCAAAGTGCTTTTTTGAAGCGCTCTGAGACGCAACCCTGCGTGAGGACCTACATAACTGCAAGTTGTTGTTGTTGTTGTTGTTGTTATTTCAGCACGTCTTCCAGTTTACTCAATGGCTCCATCCGGCAAAGCTGTTGGCTGGAGTGACTTTGAGCCAGAAGAGCCCATGTCTGATGTTGGGTCTATTCTAAGGTTAAAGGAAGCTGAATCTGAGACTCTATCCTGCATAACGAGCGCTAAACAGACACAAGCTTTTTTTTAAAAATTGGAAAATAGTTTTAAACATATTGCTGTGGCTTTCTGGAGTCAAAGTGACAAGTTACCCACTGTTATAAGTGAGCTTCTGCAGACTGAAACTGGATATTTCTACGTAAAGAGCTTGTGTAGGGGAAAAGGGGAATAGCATGACTTTCAAACCATGTGAATATTCTGCCTTATCACATGAGCCAAGCTTCCAACATGTGTAGAGGAAAAGGAAAATAACAGAGGGGCTCTTCCAACAAATATGAAATTATTCCGGGTTTTATTAACAAATAAAGTAAGATTGATCTGCACCTTGGTGAGGTCTTGGCTACGCTCCAGCAATACACGTAAATGACAAATGTTTGCAATTAGTTGAGGCTACTGGTGTCCAACTTGTACACTGTATTCCTAATAACTCATAATCTGCTCATTTACCTGATTTCTCATTGCCTTCAAAACAAATCATAGCCTATCTGGTGCATTCTCTGCACATCTGATGGATTATTGTGTTGGGCGAATGTTTTGATGTGCCTTCCATCGTATCGCTACTAAATTATTCATCCTGAATTATTCGTCCTACTGACCCCTCTCTCAGCCTCCAGACTGACTGAGGAGAATTAAAACAAACGTACAAAAATGTTCACATCGATAGGAAACTTGGAATTATTTGCTGCAAGTAGAAAAATGACCTTTCCTTGTGTGATTTCATATTATCGTCCTATCGTTTCAAGGCTGTAGAATTTCTCCACTGTATATATTAAAGGCTTCAATTGCTTCTTATCCATCAAGTTACATTTAGTGTCAAAATTGCTTTTGGTTTTCTGCCACCCCACCTCGCCACCCCCCCCCCCCCCCCCCCCGAAAAATATTAAAGTAAGTTTTACTCAACCGTGAGGTTGGAATAAAGAAACTTACAGCGAGATATTGAATGCGACTGCTTTCTTTAGACACTGGGGAAAAAAACAGCATGCATCAAACAGACCTTAAAAAGAGAGAGGAAGTCTCCCCTCCCCACACACCAAGGATCAAGAGCTTCACTCAGCTCAGCTTAAAGTGTTTCAAAAGACCTCCCATGTAGAAATCCTGGCAGGTCTTCACAGGTCTTGCACAGAATGAACGAACATGTGCTGCAGTGCAGGACTGTAAATGATTGTGCGTGTGTCTTTGTGTGTGTGTGTTTGTGCGTGTGCACGTGTATGTATGTGTGCATGCGTGTGTGCTTGCGTGTGTACGTGCATGTGTGTGCGTGTGCGAGTGCCTAGAGTTCATCTGAATCGTTTACAAGTAAAACGCCTTGAACACTTCTCTTTGTCAGGCCAGAATCCAGCTGGACGTGCAAAGTTCTTCAGACTAGGCAAAGCAGCCTGGCCTGTTGTGCATTTTGGTTTGGAATCTGTGGTGTGAGGGTAAAATCCTTCACAGCGTTTTACAAGCTAACACTGATCATCCTTTTTCTCCGGCGAAGGCGTGCCAGGCCTGGGAACGTGAAATATTTCCTGAGGCTGCTGAGGGAGCGTCTTCGACGGGTTCTTTTGCGACAGTATTTGCAAGATCTCACCCACTTGTCTCTCGAGGGCTGTCATTCTGTCGCAAAGCAACTGAATATCGTCTTTGAGTTCCACTTTGACTTCCTGCAAGGTGGTCTGCAAGGCCTGCTCTGGGATTGGGTAGAAGGGGTGTCTGATATCCACCTGGATGGGGCTGTGTTCCAAGGGACTGCGGATTTCCCCGGCATTGTCCAGCCTCAGATCGCTTTTGGTGATACCACTGTCACACGAGTCTGTTTTCCTCAAACAGTTTTTTACCTCCACATTCTCGGAGTTGCCCCCTTTCGAGTCCTCCGAAAGAATCTCCATGGATTCGGCTTTGGTGACATTGTTCCAGACGCCTTTCTTCTCCCCCTCCTCCTCCTCCCCGCCCTCCCTCAGAGGGTTTTTCAGTCGTATCCACCCTCTGACGCTCCCGGCTTTGATCCTCGCCGGGCTGTTGACCTTCAGGCACATCTGATCACGCAGGCCATTTGGCTTCAGCTCCACCGGCTCTCGCTCCCCTTCCTCCTTTTGCTCGTTGCTTTTGGCAAAGGAGAGGGAGGAAGGGATGGGTGTGATCTGTGACACAGTAACCACGCTGCTGCCTGTGGTGGGACCCCCGTTGTGGAACGAGTGGTTGTCCACCTTCAGGTGGTTCCTGTCAGGCTCGCTGCTCCCCTGATTCCGAAGCTCCTTCTGCTGCTTGAACCTAAAATATATATTAAAAAATAATCAATAATTTGGCCGCGCACTCCACTGCTGTGCGCAATTGGCTGCCTCGGTTCACCCACAAAATACACAGTCATTTCACTTGACAGTACACTTCTGTGAAGCACTTTGAAACGTCTCGAAGATGTGAAAAGGCGCTATGTAGAAACATAGAAACAGGAGGAGGCCATTCAGCCTCTCAAGCCTGTTCTGCCATTCTATAAGATCACGGCTGATCGGTACCTCAACTCCAATTACCCGCCCTTGCCCTGAATCCCTTAATACCCTGACCTAACAAATATCTATCCACCTCAGTCTTGAATATGATGATTATTATTATTATCATAATTATTTTTATAATAACCTCTGGAAGAGCTTCCTGACAGGGTGGTCCACAGGGATGCTGAGCGTCACTTCATTCTTCCTCCGCAGACGCTCCTCTTCCTCTTGCTTCACCTCGCTGATCTTCCGAAAAATGATCTGAAAAGAAATCCCAGGAAAATGACTCTTCACAACTTGATCTGCCTGCACTTGCGCACTTTTTTTTTGGAGGCACAGAAACTATTAAATGTTACAAGGACTATCTTTCAACCCCCTGCGAAGCGCTTAGAGAGGTCTCAATGGTGCGATAAGGCACTATAATAATAATAATAATCCTTGCATTTGATATAGCGCTTTTCACGTCGGGAGGACGTCCCAAAGCGCTTCACAGAACATACTGTAAAGTGAATTGACTGTATATTTGTGGGCGAACGCGGCAGCCAATTACGCACAGCAATGTCCCACAAACAGTCGTAGATGGAAAATGACCAATTTATTATTGTTTTTGGTTTTGGAGGGATTATTATTAGGCTCTGTGTGGAGTAAGGAAACTTGCCCAAGGTTTCGCCCTGACCTGCCGGGAATTGAACTCAGGTCTCTCGCTTGCAAAGCGAGTGCTCTAATCACTGAGCTACAGGACTCCACAAATATATCAAATGCAAGTATGATTATTATTAATATTATTATTATGTATTCTTTTGACGGCAATTTTTTTATGCGGGACTAAATCTTGGAATGTTTGTAGAATTTTTATCCCCAATGAGTTTGGGTTGTCAACTTACAGAGAAACTGTGGGGTTGGCGGTTGGCAATTGTTACTCCTTTGGTTGGTTGAAAAAGCACCACAGTAGTTAGGGACTGAACAATGACAACATGTCATAAAGTACATTACCAGTAAGGAACCACATGAGTGTCACACTGACCCAAGAGAAAGAAAAGGCCCTTTGATCCATTTAATCGTCCTCTTAATACTTTGGCTGTGATATGAAACTGGCTTCAGACGAGCTTTCGCAGTCTGGCATTCATGTACATTGGGTTCCCTGTAGGAGATGCATCGATGCCCCAAGCTGCTTTTACCATTAAAATGCCATTTAAGCTGCTGTTTTTAACTATTCGGGACATTTTGAACTCTGTTGTTCCTTGGTGCTGAGGTTCTGCCAGAAACCCATGACCAAAGATTGTCTGTCAGTATTGTGAGTATTCTGAATCAATAAACCACTCATTTCCAAAGTTGACCCCTGTTGTCAAAAGCCTCGTCACCTTTGGAAACAGATTTTCTTTTTGTGGAGCAGGAATATTTCTGTGCGTTGGTCAGGAAATGGATTTCACAGCAGTTAATGGGGCACCATGTCTTTCACGTAAGTAAAGGTTAATATTTCCATTACATTTCAGTCCTGTGAACATGGTTTTACATCAGATGCCTAATTTGCACATGTACATGAGGTACTGCACTGGCGGGTCCTTCGAGATCTCACTATAACTCGTGCCTATTCCTAGTCAACAGAAATTGGTTGGTAATAAGCACAAATAACAAACACCCGATGGTGCCCATTCAAATAAACAAACATTGTAACTTTTGCCTGCCAATGAAGTCACTACACTTTTACAGCAAATCCTGTGAATCACTTTGAGACACTGAAACAACATAAGGCACTATGTCAAATGCAAGGATTCTCATTATTATCCTACTGATCTTATATTTTTCTAACCCTGAAAATGACGTGATTCATACAGTCTGAATGTGAAAATACAACACAACTTTGCAACGTTGAGGGATCTGGATTGGAAATGTTTTTGAGAAAACAAGTTAACATCTATATCAATCTCTACAGATAAGCACTAAAGTAAGATGTTTCGGTAATTCTGTTTGCATTGTGCACCTTCTTTCTATTGTTGAGTTCGATAACCTAAACATCCCCTTCCTGTGCATCATTGACCATGCAGAGCAAAATCAACAGAATCACGTAGAATAAAACAAAGGTGAGATGAATTCAAATTATTTTTTGGAGAGAGGGATATTAAAAGCAACATTCAGCCCAATGAGTCCTATTCCCTCCTGTTCCCTTCCCCTATGCCCTCTGTTCCTTATTAACTGGTGTGATCTCTGACAGTGTTACTGTTATGAAATTGGAACATTTGAAAATCAATAGATTGTAACTTCACAATAAGAAAAGCATTGGCATCAAACCAGTAGGGAGAAGAAAATAAATAGATTTAGGTGAGTTTATTTCACTGAAGATTCACAGTTAATTCAATGATGCTAATCACAAGGTTAGAGTACGCCTTTAAGTGCATTTGACTGTTCTTATTTTGATCTTTGGTAGGTCTTTGCTTTGTGACAAGGCGGTTGGAATATCTTGCGAGGTCTGAGGTGTCTTCCTTTCTAAGGACATTTAAATGGGTTCGGAGAGATCAATAATGTCTTGTGGGACTTAAAGCTCTTCAGTGTTGAGGAGATGCAAGCAAAGCTGAACTTATTTTCATTGGCAAAAAGGTCTTTAAAATCCTGAAAGTATAGATATTTATCTCAATGTGTAGTTTATTTGAGATTCTCCCATTACCCCTCCCAGTTTGACGTAGCTTCAAGAATTCCTCAATACAACGTACAGTTGAAGTTCAGCACCTAATGTATCAAGGTCAAAAGAGTCACTTTTAGGATATAGTTATAATAATATCCTTAAATGATCACATTTGCATCTATTATGCTAACATATTTATAATAATATAATAATCCTTGCATTTGATATAGTGCCCTATAACGTTTTTGAGACGTCTCAAAGCGCTTCACAGAATACACTGTAAAGAGCGTTGACTAGATATTTTGTGGGCAAAATTTCTGCATTGTAGGAGTTAAAAGGTACTTGCACCAACTATTTATTTATAGCCAGATGATCTTTACTAAAGAACTCACATAGAACAGTGCACCAGAAGTTGGAACTTAAATGTTTTCATTAGCTGATTTGTGCCGAGGCCTGTAGCTTCACATAACAGCCATGCAGTGTTATTCAGTACTTGATTGTTTTTTGTTAGCAAAACGCTTTTCTCAGTTTTATTGAAAACTAAGCAATATTGTTGGTTGATTTTTGCTTGAAGCTTCTTGGCAGCTGCAAAAGCCTACACCCAGTGAGGTAACGTTGAAAGACGAAATGGTAATGAGCATCTACAGTAGAAACCTATTATGGTGCGATTCATTATAGCATCAGGTCACTCACAGCACAATTTGTCCACAAAATATACAGTTACTACACTTTGTTGTTTATCCTGTGAAGCACACTGAGCTGACGTGAAAAGCATTACATCAAACGCAAGGATTATTATTAGGATTCATTTGGAGTTTAGCTAATGAGGGTGTGAAAGGGTTGTTTCTGGTGACCCACCTTCTGTCTAATGGGGGGAAAAATCATTGCAACGAAAGGTAAATGGAATGAAATAATTGACTTTTTTTAAACCTGTTATTTTCCGAAATGGTAACAGACTCCAAAGGTCTTGTTTTGTACTGGACAAATGTTATCTGTCTAGGATTGTTTCCGAGCACCAGAATATTGCCCACAAAATACTCAGTCACTACACTCCGCAGTAAGTTCTGTGATGCTTTTCGAGACGTTTCAATAATATGAAAGACACTATATCAAGTGTAAGGAATACTAATATCCTCAGAGAGAAATCTATGCAAGACAAAGAGGCAATCACACAGTGTGCCACTTCTTATTTATATGGCTTCTCATATCAAGTATGAACACTTTCTCTTGTAATACATTCTTGTTATAGATGAGTATCTCTTTCATCAAATCTACACCCATTAAATACTTTACTAAAGAGCTATTTAACCTGTGCAGTTGCTGCGAGCGATGCAAATGCAATTAATTTTCAATGCTGACTTAAAATTGGTATTCTTAATCAAACAGTAATCGGGTTTGGAGCAATTTTACAATGACACATTGTAGCAGTATTCTCCGTGTGTCCAATTAATCCCAAACTGGATGGACGTGCACTATCATTGGTTGCTTGGCGAAGAATTGGCAGCGTTTCAACAGTTAGAAAGTGATGAATTGCCACACCGTTCGTATGAATCGGCACGCTGAGATTGAAATGTTTGCAGCCAAAATTAATTTTCATCAGCGTAATTGACCACTTTAATCCTATTATACGTTCTCCTTTGTGAAACCGATGGGGGTTTTAGGGCCGGTCATAAAATGGCAGGGATTAAAGTTTGCAATCCACTGGGCCTCCAGTGGAGTCTCTCCCTGGACTAGTTTCTTTTGTGAAGAGAATTAGGCATTGCACAATGGGGCAGTAACTGGGTATAAATTACATCAAAAAGGCAGCATCCCAGAGAGAATGAAGCATTCCTCTAAGGGGAGGTTGAAGGACTTCTACTTATCTTGGTAGCACACTGTCTCAAGCTAATTTGTATTGTCGATGCTCCTCATTGCCACAGTGAATAGAAATTAATTAATTATCTGCCAATGTTTAGTGAACGGAGAGAGGAAGAGAAGTCCAATTAAGGATGAAACTTCAAACTCACTCCTTTTTAGATATCTATCTAGTTCCCTTTTGAAAGCTAATTTGGATCCTGCCTCAACCACTAGCCCAGCAAGATATTCCACATCCTAACAGCTCACGATTGTTAAACAAAATTCTTTTAATATCCATCTTTGCTCCTTTGCTAATTATTTTAAACTGATGCTCTCTTGTCACTGATTCACTGACCAGTGGAAATAATTCCTCCCCATCAACTCTATCAAAACGCCCACACCTCTCCTCAACCTTCATTGTTCCAGTGAAAGTAGGCTCCAGTTTTTCTGTTTAGAACCATTCATTTGAATGTCTCTCTTGCACTGCAAGATGAACATTATCCTTTGTCGCTTTCCTGAAATGAACAGCCATGCAAGAGAGTGTTACTAATCTCAAATGCTGTAACCTGATATCATTTGGAAAGAAAATTCATTGCTTTCAGTTTATTCAAAACAAACCACAGTATTAAGCCATTAATCACTGAAGCTATGTTGACAACTCCAGTGGTCTTTGTTGCTTAATGGCAGTAATGAGATAACGGCAGAGCCTCTGGCTGGCTACATGTTGAGAAATGTGCGAAGAATATCGTGTTCATGAAGACGAGATCTCCTTGCGCAACCTTTGGCCAGCGGCAAATTAACAAGG